TTAGCTTCGCGTCTGTTTACTTAGCCGATATTATCAATTCGGTCGACAAGCCTTAGGTGCCATAACTGAAGATTCAAAACCTCGACATCTGTGATGTCATAATTATTTATTCAGGAAATTTATGACGCAGTTTTTAACATTATTTTCGGAAATGTCGCAATATAAAAAAAACTTAAAGTGGGACATTTTCCAAGAGCAAGGATTAATGAAATAAAAATATTTTCTATTAGCGATAAATTAAAAATAATTTTGATTAGTAACAAATTATGTTGCAATTTTTGTACATTTAATACAATTTATGTATTCAATTGAATATCTTCAAAATTGGCTAAATTTATTAGTCACACCTTTCTAAGGAAAATCCTATTATTCTTGGCAGTAGAAAGGAACCAAGTTATCCTTGGAAATCAATGAAATTTCGTAAGACCCGGGAAAATTTCGTACGAAAATCGGTTTGCATAAAAAAATTTTAGGAGACTTGCACATTACCCTACAATAAATTTGATTATCCGGCACCTTACTATGACCGTCCCAACAGAATAACTCGGTTATTTGATGATGACACAATATTGAATGCTACTCAGTCAATAACTTATTTATCTGGCAGGGCCCCGAAGGGGCCCAGGAGCATATTAAATTTCACTGCCAGATAATTTCCGTTATTGGCCGCTTCACATCCAATAACTATATATTATCTCAAAATCATATTTTTTGGACTCTTTCTACTACAGAGGCCCTCATATTTTATGCCAGTTTTTTAATTGTATTTTATTTTAACTAATAATAATGATCTGATTTTAGTCTTCATTGATTTTTGCAGTTATACTAAGAGTAACAGTTATATATATAAATGGGTTTTTTTTTTGAAATCAAATAATGTGTAGTCTAGTTCAGGTTGCGTATTATGATTGCTGATAAAATGTTTCATTGTCATTTATTGGAGTCTAGTATATATATACTTGCTGGCCAAATCCCAAACTACTATAGTTTGAGTTTGTCCGCGCTCAAATCCCAAACTTTGGCCAAATTAATATCTTAAAAAGTTTATTACTAATCTTCATTTAAATAAACAGTGTATATTCTTATAGTTATATATAATATATCTGTGAAATTTAAAGATTATAAATGCTATTTGGGATTTGTCCGGATCTGTCCAGCATGTATAAGTATATATGCTTCGATTACACATTATACAATAGTTAGCATTTAGTCAGTACTCATTACGATAAATCAATACTAAAAAGGATTAATTCAACTTTGTTTTGTCACATAATATGTGTAAAGAATTTCTGTTAGTTGATATATTAAGAAAATAAAACTTTTGGATTTCCGTTCTGCTTGAACATTTTTAAAACGTTCAAACTCTTTTATACAATCAATAGTTAAATACAAATAACAATGTTAAATTGGGATGTATCTTATTGGTCAATTTACAAACATACGTAATGCAGGTTATATTCTCTATACATTTTTTTTATAGATCGACAAATCTTATAGTAAAAACATGTAAAATTCATACTGTAATAACTCTTTAACCATAAAATCCGCATACATTCCTCAAATTCGGTTTAATATGCTCTTAAAGTAATAACACTGTCTTTTTTTTTTATTGTCTAGGGTGTGGCGTAAATTTTTTGATTTAAATCATGGCATACCAATGATGGCATCGAAATAACAAAGGCATAAAGTTTCTATAGAAATATCAAAACTTGGAAACTCTTTGATAACGACACCAAAACGACGAAAACTTAAAATTTAAAATCTCTTTGACAACAACACCAAAACAATAAAAACTTAAATTTGAAATTTCTTCAATGATGACACCAAAACGACGAAAACTTAAAATTTGAAATTTTTTCAATGACAAAAGCTTAAAATTTCCACTATCTATTAAGTAAACAAATAAAAAAACACTTAAATGTGAAATTATTTAAAATTATTAATAATAAATATAAAACTAATAAATAATAAAATATATACAGTTGTCTCTGAAAGTTTGTTACAGTTACACAAAAACAAAATAAAAAAACAAAAATTTATGCAATAAACGATATCAATATATGGGGGTGAGTCAATAGAAATCAAGCAAATTGTTTTAATTAAAATTTTTTTGAAATTTAAACAACAATAATTCAATAAAAACTTAATAAAATTTAATAAAATTTTTTTTAAATGAATTTTACAAATTTGTAGCATTTATTTTAAAAAAGTTTTATAAAATTTACTTAGAAAAAATTTGCTTGATTTCTATTGATTCAACCTTATATTTTGCAAATTAATATAATATTAATGCATAATAATACTTGGTCAATATATAGCAAATTAAACAGCAATAGTTAATAATTACAACCATAACCATTATTGTATAAATTTTGGTATGTTTTTTTATTATATTTTTTGTGTAATTGTAACAAACTTTTGAAAACAATATATCTAAAAAGATACTTGGTTTTAGTTAAACAGTTAACTTACTTATCCTAGTCATTACATAATAGTGTATCCTATAACTAGATTTATAATAATCTAAAATTGTATTTTAAATAAAAACTAAATAAAACATAAGCAATAAATAGCATGGTTAACATTGTTCAATAACATAATAATTCATTAACTTGAAATATTTATTAGTATTTAAAAAAACTCTTATAAGGTCTAAAGTTTAACACATTGTATATTTAAGTTAAAAAGTTAATATTAAAATAATCACCATTTAATCACTTAGCTTTTTGACTGCTTAAAAAAGAAACTTAATAATATTTTCTAATTGATATTAAATAGACCTTAAGCAGTAAATTCAAAAAAACTTAAAAAAAAATTTATTCTAAAGAAAATAAACATAAAATATCATCTCAAAGAAACCATCACTTCTGATTTGTTTAAGAAAAATTAATGTTTTTATATGTAGTATTGATTTAAAAATGTAAGATGAAAAATTAACATTAAAAATTTTAAAACAAAGTAATTCCTTATATGCTTTTTTTTTTTTTTTACTAACACGTCTATTGTTTTGATAATAAAACCACGTGTATTGTTTACAAATTTGATCATCATAAAGACTTTTAAAAATGTGACTATCAACCAACAAAATCAAATAAAAGAAATCAATATACCGATACAAATAAATTTATTAGCGAAGCTCTTGGATTGACTTTATTTTGATTGTAAATGTAAATACGTAAACTTTTGGCTTTTTAGAAAAATTTAGTGAAATTGAAATTTTTCTTTGTGCTATTAATTGTTCCAACTCTATCAATTTATTGACAAAAGCACCTTTGCAATAATCTAGGTACTTTAATAATGACCATGATTTTTATTAGAAAAAAAAAATTTAGGCTGACTAATTTAAAGAGAAAACCCGGATATTATATAATTTGTAGATGACATTTTCAATAATCAAGTAAGCGATCATTAGAAAATAAGATGTATATAGGTTTCGATTTACATTCAATTTTAGTCCAAAATTATTCGCGTTCTTAGATGAATGAATAAAATAACGTACATTGATTAAAAGAAAACATGTACTTCAACAAATCATTTGTTTCTATATTATCTCAATTATAATTACAAATTTAAGCACGATTAATAAATGTTTTATACTTACAGAATTTCGAGATGCAGTAGAGTAAATTATGCGATTTGTCAGAAAGGAAATGAAAGTGTCGAAATAATTGTTAAGGAAGTGAATCTCGGGGTGTGATTTAACAAAGCCAAAACCAAATATTTAATAATTAATGTTGGCATTTTATTACTTTATTTAAATTATATATTTTAAATCTAATAAGTCAATAACTGCAAATTGTTACCATTTTTTTGATATGTAATGATAAAAACAATGCTTATTGCTCTATTCGTGAACTAAAACATTCTATTAGCCAGTTCTGACAATAATATAAATCAGAATTAAAACTCTACTACTTACATTTAAACAGAATAATACATTTTTCAATGATAAAAAAAAAACACAATCATACATCTATGTATGTAATTATAAATGAAATACTAAATAATTCTGAATTAAGCAAATTAATTCGCATCTCAGCATAAATAGCGTTACCGTATCGCATAAACCCTACTTTTTTAATATTTTTACTTTTAATAAAATCAATTTAATACCTACTATATAATTTTAATATCATTCGAATCATCTTAATAAGACGATTGAAATAAATTTTTATTAAAAGCAAATATTCAAAAAGTACAATGTAGGTTTTCCCTTGGCAGCACTCATATACACTGCATATAACGGCTGACTTTGAACGAATTGGTAGCCATGATAACGAATTGGTAAAGGATGTGGCATATAAATTCTGAAACTACACTTTTCGCTCTATAACATATCAAAATAATCCGAGAAAAAGTAGGAGTTAGCGACGGGGTGCACTTTTTGTCTTATAGGTTAAGGTAATTTAGTAATCAGCAAGGTAAATTGCATCTCTTGAGGAATTCCAAACCAACTCAAATCTTATTCCCATTTACAACATTAGTACCAAAACCACTATATATTCTCGTGATATCACTTAGTTTTCGTATGAAGTATACGTACGTAATACGTAGCATCAAATTGAGAATTTTAAATGAACTTTTGCTTTTGCGAAAAATGCCCAACATTATATACGTTTACACTATTCATGAGCTAACTTGATCTTTTACATATATTATAATTGCCATCAAATGATGCATCATGAAAAAGAATGTAGTTATTGATGATCACGTAGTACGTATACACTTACTAATCATTATGTATCGCTCACCATTTGTAATAAGAATCTCTTTCTTGATAATGAAAAATATAATAATAGAAAATATTGCAAACATAGGTGATAAACGATTAAAAGGGACTTATTACGTTATTCAAAAATAAAATATGCATCATTTTTATGTGCATTTAATCAAAATATTTGTAAACTTGTTACAGCAGGAGGTTCGTTTGAATGAATATCTTGATATGTAATCTCTATTAGAGTTATATATATTTTAACTTTAATCTTTGAATATGGCTCTTACTTGATATCTATTTTTTTTTTTGAACAATGTTTTCTATAATAATACTGAGAACATTGATTTGGTGTTCTAGTTCCAATTGAATCTGCTACATATTTCCATTTCTTTCCGAATTCAACAAATGCTTTGTAGAATGCTGTAATCTCTTCCGATTTCCATTTACCTACGTTAATATTAGGATTTGTTCTTGGATATTTTATGTATCGAAGCTTTATATCATAGAAACTCCTCTTTGGGAAATCTTTTTTAATAATATTCCAATCTTCCCCATACTTTTTAATTAGATCATGAAGTTTTTCATCTTCTTCCTTTGTCCACTTTACTCTATTAAGATAAAAATAATGCAGATAAACATCATCTGGAGATCGATTAAAAGTTTTTCCAATCATTGTCCATTTATTGCCATGTATTTTAATCAATTCCAAAAGTCTTGAATCTTCCTCTGGTGTCCATTTTCCACGAGTTTTGGACGAGATAACTTTCCAACGTGATCTAATTTGTAAACTATCTCTCTGTTTAAACAATTTAGATATTTCTATCCATTTTCCGACTCCATATTTTGCTACTCCACTCTTTAATATCTCATCTTCTTCAGGTGTCCAAGGATTATAATAAGATGGTCTTTGTTTAATCATATTTAACACACGCCACTTTTGATTTAATAATCGAGGGGTACGATGTGGTTTAAAATATTTTTCCCAAATCGTTTTCCAACTGGGTCCATGTTTTGCAACTGCGTCATGTAATCGTTTTATTTCTTCTTCATTCCATGCTATTACTTTTCGCGTTTTAATAAATCTTTCGAAAATTAGATTATCAGTTTTTATGTTAGAAGTTTGAGTTAATGAAGAAAGTTTATAAAATTTTATTCCATGTTGAAACCATCTTTTAGATATTTTAAAAATTGTTAGGTTGAAAGTTTGTAACATCATTTAGAAAAAAAAGGTCGAAAAACATTATCGTTATCTCGTTATCTTTGATCATGCTGGTGATTCATTTTTGGATGTTAGATGGTACTACAGTATAGCACATGACTAAGGCAAGTTATTGGCTATAAACAACTACCCCACTGATTGACAATTTTATTAAAGTCATAAAACGTTACATGAAGGTTAGGTTTATAATTATAACGATATCTGTATTATACTAAAATTTTGCAAGAAATTTTTTTTACTAATGCGCAGAAGATGGTTATATAAACGAAAGTTTGAGATACGGCGGTTTTTTTTAAAAAAATGGTATTTTTTTGTTTTGATTTCACGTTACACCTGATCTTGGTCGATCAGTGAAAATCTGTCGCTGAGCGTCGACGTAAGGTTAATAAGCCGGTGGTTTCCAGCCTGCCTGCCTAAACAAACCTAAAACAAACCATAAAGTAGATAAATGGGGAATCACGTGGTTATCGATTTGGGAGGAGTTTTTAGTACCAACGCATCTTGTATCTTTGGTCTCGGATGTTTATGCATATTCTCACATCACATCAGTATTTGGTACTTTGTTGTGCATTGCTGCATATGATTCTCAGCTTCCTTGCTATTGCGCCGATTTCAATAATGTGGACCACAATCACTCCACAAGAAAAATGAAAGGGAATAACTACCGACACAGCTAATGCTGTAATGACCAGTACTAACCAGCACTATAGATAAGGTTGATGATAGAATATGGGAATTAGGTGTATGCTATGTCGGTAGTTATTCTAATTTGAATCTATTCACGTAAATTGGAAAATTGGTTTTTATTCGCTGGTCTTATTGGCCAAATTAACACCTCTAAAGACGTAATTTTTACATATGTAGTACGTATACTGTACTTAGAGATGGTCAGATCTTTGGTCGATGGTCAAAATGGTTTTAGTCAAATTGGTAAAGTGGTCTATCCAATCAAATTAAGATTTTTAATTAAATTGAAATTATTAATAATTTGAGATTTGGCAATTTGATCATGGTTAAATTGGTCAAATTTTGCATTTAAAAACTATCTTTACAAAAAAGTTTTTGTTATCTGCCTTTTAAAAAGCACCATCCAATCAATAGGTAAGTAGATCTGTTAATGCATTTAGATAGATAAAATAAGAAAAAATGAGTGACCTCAGATCTAAAATTTTACTTCTTTGCTAAGACAAAGACTTGTTTTTTGCGTAATATTTTATATAAAGTAAAAAGAGAGTAGAGTATTATGATGCAGTTAAGTTTTACAATTAATATTTCATAATCTGGTAGTTAGAATCTAACGATTTTGTACCATTTGAATCATTTCATTAAGACGAATTGAATGCTACTAGAACATGTGATATTACAAATTAAAATAAAAGATAAATTATAATGCAGAACCAATTACAACGCACATGTGATATCTAGTTATCTAGTGAATGATAACAAAATCTTTAATTTGGATCAGTAGATATCGAGATACGCCAATTAAAGATTATTTTTAAAAAATTAAAAAAAATAATTTTAACATGTTATTGATAAATTTTTTACTAAATAAATCAAATATTTATTATGACAATTTTGTTTATCATAATAAATTCTAAATTTTTATAAAAATTAGATAATTTTTTATTAATTAATTTTTATAAAATATGGTTCTATACTAAAAGAATATATTATGATGCAAAAAAACTTTTTTACAATTTAAATAATTCTTTTTATAATTAAGTATTATATGCATTTCTGCTTAGTTTAATGAAGTTTTTAAACTTTTATAATCATTATATATCAAAACATTCTTAATATTTAACAAATAAGTAATTTTATTACTTCTAGTGATTGAATAACAGATATTAAGAATTCTAGATTAATGTTGAATTTTTAAGCAAATAATTGATATTTAATCTATTATTTTAAGTAAACTAAAATTATAAAAAAAATATTTCATATTATACAAGAATAGTCTTTACCTATGTATCAATCATTGCATCATTTGTATATATAAGTCAATATGCATTAATATGCAATATAAAATATTCAAAATTTTTATATATATAGTAAAATGGGTTATTTAACAATACAAATAACTAAGAGACTAAAATAAAAACAGAAATACTAAATTTTAGTAATAGCAAAAATAGCATGAAAGATATTATAAAACTACAAAATTAAATTTAATTAAAATTTATTTAATTTTATATATATATAGAAATAAATAAAACAATTTTAGTTAAATTTATATATATAATTATATAGTTGTTATAATATTATTTTTGCAATTTTTAGAATTTAATAATTCTGAATAAAAGTTTATTTTTAATATTTTTATATTATAATAATAATGTTAAAATATAGTGACTTAGTAAAATGAAAAAGTTGTCAACTTTTTAGATAAATTTAAAATCTATTAATAGTAAAAATTTAAACAATTACCTATATAATATATAGATTATATTATAGTGATAACATTCTGTTAATTAGTCAAAATAAGATATCTGTAATTATAGTATTAGCATGACTAACAGGTTATAGACATCTGTATAATCTTAATTATACAGAAGAATGCAAATTAGTACTGTATAGTACAAACTTAAAATAAATTCTTGTAATTATATAAATTTATAGAACTAAAAAAAATTAAAACCTATTTAAAAAGATCTGAATAGAGAAATAATATAGATTTTTGATAATATTACTATAAAAATTAAATATAGAAAACAAATACTAAAGATAGTAACTTTAGTATAGTAGTTGGGTTGTCATTCTTCAAGAAGCAGATCTAAGGTTCAAATTTTATTTACAATAAAATTTGGTATTAAACTTGTGTTACAAAAAACTGTTTTTTGTTAACCAGTTGAATTTAGGTTTCTGTAATCTGGGTATAACCAATTAGGTTTTACTTATTATTGAAAGCTTAGAGCATTTATATAAAGTATAACATTATATATATATAAAGGAATGTTAATAATTAGTGTTACATAAGACTTTGGTACAAACTCATAATAAGATTACTGAATACAGAAGATCAAGAAACTGAGAAAATAGAATCCTACTTAGAAATTCCTAAGTAAAAAGATAGTACAAACTTTTAACAGTATTGTCAGACTAATGAAAACCTAGAAAATCCAATAAGAAATAAGCTGACATGCAATTGGATGAAAAGATATGTAAAGAAGCATATGACCAACCAGGCTATTAGAATTACTAAAGAAAAAGATATTAAAAAGTATATTATATTAAGCTATCTGAATTAGAAATCTAGAAAGTTAATTGAATTTTAAGTTGAATAGTAGGAAGATAAAGAAAAGAAGTTAGAAAGATAGATACTAGAGTTGGAGTAAACTTTACAAGAATAAAAATAGTATAATATAGCAGTTAAACAGGTAACTTCTATAACTGCAAGTATTAGGTAACTAAATATATTATATAAAACTAAGTTAGCTGTTTATAAAATATAGAAGGCTCTAGTATAATGCTTCTAAGGATACATTGTATAAAATAAGATATGAGGTCTTAAGGGTATAGGTAAAATTATCTAGACCTTCTTAACTGACATATATATTAAAAATAATCTAATAATACAGTAGAAATTGCAGTACAGAAAGTTTAAATAAACAATGCTCTTAGTCAGATTACAAGTATAGCAACTAGTATAGAACTATTGACAAATTACTTAAATTAAACACTAAAAGTATATATGTAACTAGTTGTACTCTCTAATGTAAAGTGACTTCTTTAAAATCTCAGCTGTGCATTCCTATGTCTTAATTTACTAAATAAAGTCTTAGTTCCAAAAGAGGCTAGTTTAAACTCTAAAAAAAAACAAAAAACAAATACTAATATAAAGGGATCAGATGAACAAAAATCTTTAAGTAAGAGATATTAATAACTAGTTACTATATTAAACTAAAAAAATATATTAGATTAAACTTAATATATTAAAAACAAATTACAGTTTTTCTTTTTTCAACAATCATCTGAACCAAACTTTTCAAAAAGCTGAACTACAGAAAATAATATAGTTAATATATTAAACTTTATGAAAACCTTTCTAGAGTACTGTACACACATTGTACATGCATTGTTGGACATTGAAATAGAGTTGAAAAAGAGTCGCAGCCTTGTGGTGATAGTTTAAAGAGCACTCTAGAACTATAGAAGAAGTAGTCGATGAAAGCCAAGGTTCTTCATTAAGTAAACAACAAAGTT